TACCCCACACCCCCCTCTCTATTTCTCCTCCCTGGCTCCTCCCCCCTCTCTTACCTATATAGCCTCTTGTTACAGCAGCTCTTTTGCCCACTTCAGAAATTGTTTCTTGCTGTGGTTGTCCCACCTGATGAAGGACGCTTGTGCTGCGCCCGAAACGTCGTGATTTAATTTATTTTATACCTACGTGACTTTACCGAAAAAAAACAAAGAGTATTGATCCCTGCAGTGACGAAACTTCAATTCTACATATACTGTATGTTTTCTGTTATGTAAGAAACGTGTATTGCAATGACTCAGCCTCATTAGTGTCGCGAAAAGCCGTTATATATCATGTTAAATGCTATACTTGTAATGTTCGCAAAAGTTTTCCTGCTCTTAGCACAGTTGTCCTACATTGCCATAAATTCTGACTTGTGCGGCTGTTCTCTGCAGCTCATCAGAATGTTTGTTTTTTCTTGGACATAACCACTGAAGTTCTCCCTGCAAGGAACCGTGCCTTGGTGTTGTTTCTTTGGGTGGATTAGGGCTCCACGTAGATCGTTAACAAAGTGTTCCAGTATGCAGTGAAAACCCAAAAGAGTTCCAGACAGAGCATATAAACGGAATGTAATGACAGCTGTATTTTGGATATGATGTATGTAAGGGTTTTTTTGTTGTTGCTTTGGATCCAACTGAAGTTGATGTCTCCGTACATTGTGGTTCGCAACCCCAGTGTATCGTGAATGAAAAGTATAGAAACTTACGTGGGTTACGCATATTAAATAGGTCACCAAAATCACCACTCTTGTAAATAAAGCGTCAATCTTACAAAAAAACAAGCCTAACGTTGAATTGACGTCACCCGTTTATAATCCTATATTTTTATTTTAAAAACCTTTGATTGTCTCTCATGTTTGTACTCTGTTTATGCATGCACCTCCTTTGATGTTTTCTAAATGGCTTGTGCTTAGATGCCCTGCCATTTACCGACTCTGTTGTGTTGAAAAGATAAATACTTACATGCTAAGTTGCTCTACGTTCTTAAATTACACACGTAGCTACCAGCGAATTGTCCCGAGGAGAATGTCATGAATCTTTAAGCGGTTTGAGGCGCAGCTGCTTGTGATTAAAATGTCACGATAATTAAATGGATTTTCAAATTTAACTCGTCATGTGGTCATGCTGATAGCATTTTGTTGCTGTGCATGAACAAAAAAAGATGTAAACTTTTACAAAGTACAATGTTACGAAGATGTCTATGAATATATTAATACATGTATCGACACACAAAGGTGTGTGCATTTCATCGACACAAACTCTCAGTCTAATCCAGACCACCATGCAATTCACACATTTATGCACCGTTACGACTTGTTTCCAGCCTGCATACGTGTTCCTGTTGTGATGGGGTTTCTCGTCATTTACAGATTTGAGATATGTCAGTGCAACACGTTTCAAATTTGCTTAAAACGATCGCGTACATATAGTGAAATGGTTAAGGCGCAGCCCTGCAATTTCTTACTCACGCCACTGCTGACAGAAGGGTCTTCGCTGGAGCACGCTATAGCAAAGCATCTCCCCCCCAAAGGGTATTTGGCCTACTCTCCCACACTAGTTCTTACATGTGGCATGTTGCAGAAATAAGAAACTGGTTTTGGAACAGCGACAGCATTTATACATTGATGTCGAGGTTCTTTAACCATTCAGTGGCGTTGGCTGTGAGCTGGAGAATGTATTCGGTGCCCCCATTAAAACGAGTGTGATGGGCAGCGGTTAACATTTCCATTGTTAGTTTTGCTCTGCAGGTGAGGGTGTCGGTCCATCCTTAGAGTTTAGCCACAAAGGGGGTGGTGTGGTAGGGTTTTTGTTGGTCGTTTGTTTATCTCTCTACTCCGTTGGTCATCTGCCCACAGGGCGATACGTTGCAATGAACAAAATAAAGGTTTTTTATTTGTTAGATCGCGTAAATATAAATGTGTCATTAACCCACCACCACCCGACACAGCCAATTAGTAATGTTTGTCACGGAAACAGAACGTGCCAATTAGTTACCAATCTTTGGTTCTTTCGGTAAACTCACGTTACCGAAATAACCAAAGAGTATGAATTCCTGCAGTCACGAAAGCTTCAAATCAAGATTGAATTAGTTACTACTTCAGGACACACCGGTCTGTTGTGAGATTGAACCCACAACATTCACAAGTCGAGTGGGACGTGTCGCTGGGTGATTACGACCAGCCTCGTCGGGCGATTTTGCCAGAATTTGGCCGCGAAAGCCCTACGCGTTGCAACTTCGTGGTAACGCTCCCGGCGTTTTTTGAGCCACTGAACAAGAAGAGCGCCGTTGATTTCAGAAGACGAGGAGGGCACCACCGGTTCGGAGACCCGATGTTCCCCCCACCCCCACCCTGTCCTATTCCACGAATCGCTTTGTCCACGCTCGTCGATTGTGGTGGTGGTGGTGGCGGCGTGCAATTTGACAGCACGGGGAGAGAGCCACTCGTGTTGGAAGAGGCGGAGTGGAATGTTTCCGCGGTAGCGTTTCGGTAATGTTATAAGTGCAGCGGGCAGGGCAATGTGCGAGTTGCTTGCATGTATGTTGAACTTCTTTCGCACCGTACGTAGTCAATTGTGCTAATCGGAGGTGTGGCGGCTGGGGGGTGGTGGTGTGGAGAAGGCCACCAAACTAAACACAAGAAGCAATATTAAATTTCGATTTAAAGCTTTCGTGACTGCAAGGATTCATCTTCTTGGTTCTTTCGGTAAAGTCACGTAGAAGGGAAGTAATAAAATAAAAAACATAATTATTTTTTATGTATTATGTTTTATTTTTATTATTTTATCACTTCCCTTCTACGTGACTTTACCGAAAGAACCAAGAAGAAGAAGCAAGATTGTTGATTTTCAACACGCAGCAGTGGCCTTGCCGATGTTTTTGGGACGGACGTCAGCAGGCACGCGCGTGACCGATTGTGTCTCCGGACCGCTATGCAGGTCTCGACGAAGAGGCACCAGGATGGTGCCTCCTCGTGGAAGAGCTTTGAACTGAAGCGACCTCGCAGTGGCTGAGCGGAGAGGCGCGGACAGCATCATTTCTCGATTTAAAGCTTTCGTGACTGCAGGGATTCATCTTCTTGGTTCTTTCGGTAAAGTCACGTAGAAGGGAAATAATAAAATAATAAAAATAATAAAATAACTCTCACGACGTTTCGGCCACAACGCAAGCAGCCGTCCTCAGGTGAAGCACAGATCTGTTCTTCCCGACAGACCTGTTCTTCACCTGATGACGGCTGCTTGCGTTGTGGCCGAAACGTCGTGTTCTTCCCAACAGACCTGTTCTTCACCTGAGGACGGCTGCTTACGTTGTGGCCGAAACGTCGTGAGAATATTTTATTATGTTTTATTTTTATTATTTTATTATTTCTCTTCTACGTGACTTTACCGAAAGAACCAAGAAGAAGCATACTTTCTCCGTCTTTTCTTTTTAAAACTCCAAACGCGTCCACGTGTCGGGGCGCTTGATCGCATCGCGAGGTATATGCGCGAGTGTCATTATCGTGTTGGCGTCAAATCCGCACCGCGAATTTTTTTTAACCTTATTTTTCTTTCTAAATTATAGCTCCGATTTAAATGGGACGAAGGGCTTGCCTGGATGACAATGCACGAACAATTGTGATTTGACTAAACAAATGCTAAGGGTTGTAATGTAAACATATTCAAAACTACATTGAAGCCATTTAAAAATATATATAAACAACTGTGCATGTATATTCTTGGTTCTTTCGGTAAAATCACGTAGAAGGGAAATAATAAAATAATACTAATATTTATTTTTTATATTTGTATTATTTTAGTATTTCCCTTCTACGTGACTTTACCGAAAGAACCAAGAATATGAATCCCTGCAGTCACGAAAGCTTTAAATGAAAACTGTGCATGTATTTCAGACAATTCAAATGCATGCCTCAGACATGAAAAGAGATTCTATAATTAGGAAAAGTGCACCGGATTGCAAGCCGTGTACATGCACGCCATACTTTCAAACGGACCAAGAAAACCTCCGTTTGGATTCAACAGTGATTAAGAGTAATTTGGGTGGCTCTGAGTGGTCGCATATTATTGTTACACACATGCCCCAGGTCTGGATCTCATTTCCGCATTTGCTATCGCTTTCGTGTGCACAAAAAGAGGGCACATGGCTTGGAATCAAACACGGTCTGTGGGCTGAACCCTCATTTTGTATCCAGTCCAGTATTCAGCAGACAGTGGCTGTGGGCATTATTTCTTCACTGATGGGGTAAAACTTATTATAGCAAAAGCAAATAATGACATAAGCATTTACAGAATGTGTATTTCATTAAATAAACGCATGCTTGTTTTTATTATTAAATAAATAGTGCAATTGTAAGATTTTCTAGTAATGGAAATAATAGGCAATGCTTTTTTCTGACTTCTCAAGAATGCGAAATACATGACTGACTGCAGCACAAAATAGCAGATTACAATATGACGTTTCAGTCGCAATATTTTCCCTTCTCGTGTGTTCTTTCGTGATGTATTTCCCCCCCACTAATATTTTCTCAACGAGAAAACACAAATGTCGTTAATCTCTTTATTAAATCATGAATAATCTACGTCTCTATTGGCACGGTTGGCTGCGTACGGTGCGAAAGAACTTCAACATACCTACATAATCATGCGTGCACATGTATACAGCATCTACCACTGTTTGGTTTGCCAGGATAATGAACCGCAATTATTTGGATCGTGGTACGAGGTTAAAAGGTCGTTAAATTGCTTTAGATTGTGCCTCAAATTATACTCTTCCATGATTCACGGGTGATTCGCTGTAAGTAATCGCGTTTGCTGACCGCGCCTTCCCCCGCTGGTCGACCTGATAAACGCGTGCACTTTTCCATCTGGGTCCGGCCCTGGCCACTTGGTCCATGGGAATTTTTGTTGTTGTTCAAATAAGAAAAAAGCCACCGAATTCCAATCGCGAGCCATCATCGACCAGAGCAAAGCAAAAAAAAAACCAAGAAGACGGGTATCAATCTGCGTTCTGTTCGGCGAGCTGTACATCACAGCAGTTGGGGACACCAGTGGGCGGGCTTGACGCTATAGGATTAGAAGGTGTTTACAGGATCTTATAAAACCCGAGCCAAAGCTCCCCGTGAAAGAAATGTAACTGGCCTGACCAAGCTGCAGTTCTGAAATGCAATTGAAGAGCCCCGGGGGACACAGTGGCGTGCGTATAAAAGTGTGGGATTTGCAGTGGGAAGACCAAAGTGGGGAGCAAGATCCGACGGAGGGCTACTTGAATTCCGCTGCGGAGCCTGCATGAGACTTCTTCCATTCAGACAGCTGGTCAACCACAACGATAAGCGCTTAACTGTGACAGCTCGCTCTTGTTGGGTGAGTTCACGAAAAGAGGTATTTTTGTTTTATTTTGTCTATTCTGCTTTGTTAATATTTAAAGTTGATCCATAACACGGATGTTTATATGATCTACATTAAGATTTTTTGAAAAACTAAAAAGATATTGAAGTCTACTTTAACTTCGGAAGATCTTGAATGGCGTGTAATTTTAGATTGTAATATAGTTACATTTCGATTTAAAGCTTTCGTGACTGCAGGGATTCATCTTCTTGGTTATTTCGGTAAAGTCACGTAGAAGGGAAATAATAAAATATTAATACAGTGAGAATTGTATTTTATTATATTTTATTTTAAATATTTTATTATTTCCCTTCTACGTGACTTTACCGAAAGAACCAAGAAGAATAATATAGTTATATATAATACTTAATATACCCTATTTCTTAATGTTAGATTGTTTAAGGAGTACTATCAGTTATTTTGTACGTAATATAACATTAAAGTTTAATGTTTTATTCCATATTATTTGTTTAAAATTTATGTAATTTTTATTATAATTAAATTAGGTCAAACCAAAAGTACGTAAATGATCCATGTTAAAAGTCACATTGTATAAAGTTAAACATTTTCAAGCAATTTAGAACAAATATTTTTACGTTTTAGAATGTTGCTTACTTACATTATACAAATTTGGATACATATAGTAGTTTCATCCTACAAGTGGTTACTGTATGTGTTTTTCGCTTAGAAATGTGCAACTTCAGAGATCTTTTGCGGTCCGAAATGTGCTTCTTGTACTTGAACAGAGCTGTAAAATTTGATGCAAGCTTTGAGCAGCATCTGGCTTCGTGGGCACACACATGTCATTGATATCGTACGAAAAAAACGAACTCTCTTTCAATGCTTTCAGTGTGCTTACAAATCTGTGCATGCGATACAAATGAAGCAAGGGATACTTTGGGTTAATATTAAAACGAGGTATCCCGCGGGTTGAAGCGGCGGCACGAATGGTTAGCGTAGTGCTCCGTGAACCTGCCAACCTGAGTTCGAGTCCCGGCTACAAATGACGTCAGTGTCAGGTGGCATCTGAACCACTCTTGGGTCCTCACTTCACCAAACTGGTACTAACTAGCATGGTTAAGTATGGTCAAACAACATCTGTGAATGACATGGAGTGTCTTCATCCATCAGTAGATTGGCATTACGCATAATATTAACAAAATATACCTTATTGTAAAAAAAAGTGTAATGGCATGTAGCCAAATCACCCAATAATGTCTTTACAGATTATACCATGAGAGTGTGTCTTAGTGTTTCACGAATGGATCAACAAATTTCAGACTACAGTCGAACGGGTCCAGCCAAATGCAGCTCTCTCAATGCTGCAACATACCCCTTACTTTTGTGTATGTGCAGGTGGCCAATACAGCTGGGGTGTTACATTCTGCATGAGAGATTGGAAGACATCGGGGTCCACAACGTTGCAACAGGACCTACAAGCATGGGGGTGGTCGGGGCGCTGCTGCTGTCCTGCGCATGCCTCTTGGCCACCGTACTAGGTGGGAAAAGGACGCCACATGGTCAATTATTCCAACGCGGATTTTATTGCGTCATTAACTTAACGCGATTCGCATATTTTCATGATTTGTATTAACGTGTTTACTACGTTTCACTCCGGTTTTCTAACAGGTGTGTATCTGGTTGTGTATACGATATATTTAGATGCAATTGCATACACGTTGTGTAACGGTGTGTGTTGATAAATATGGTCACTGTGCTTTCAGGATCTCGGATGAGTGGTCTCAAGGCTTCTCAGAACCAGGCCATGTTAGTGCAGAGCAAGAACTATCCGAACATGCTGGGGAACCATGGTATGTCCCGGGACCTGATCCCAGGCACTCACGTACAGGCACGATTGTCTCGGGTTGCCACCTTCGAGGTAGAAAACAACCGAACATATCATGAAAAGAAGAATATCTAACAATACCTTAAGAGGAGATAAATATATGCCTACATGTAAATGCATGGTCCCGAGTGGTTTATCATTACGCAATTGATAAAAAAACGTGACTTATAATGTCCCGGGAAGACAGATTTCCCAGTAGAGCTGCCTCAAAAGAATGTAGGATGATCCTGAGACGACCTGGATAGGGTGGCAAGCATGCTCGTGCCCCATCAACGCATCATTTGGCAATGGCGAAATTGCTGCGGTGTGCTTATGACCTTGTGCAGGCTACAGCGAGTGGACCTCGTGGTTTAACATTGACCACCCGGGTGGGAGCGGCGATCACGAGCGGCTGGAGGCAATCCGGTTCTACTACCGTGCGCGCGTCTGCTCATCTCCACTGGCTATCGAGGCGCGCACCACTGCGTGGGTGCCAGCTGCCAGCACGGGCGAGAGGGTGCACATGAGTCCCCATGAGGGCTTCTGGTGTCTCAACCACGAGCAGCCCGGCCAAGCGAATTGCTCCAATTACCACGTGCGCTTCCGCTGCCCAATCGGTATGACGCTTCATCACCACCACCACCACCGCCACCATCATCAACATCATGAACATTAGCGCCACTGTTACATCGGTACCATCATGTTTATTATCAGAGTCGATCGTCACGGTTAGGGCCCAGGGCTGTTGTAGTTTTGGGGGCCTCTCTTTTAATATTAAACTCCTTCCTTTTACTGTTGGTCCACCAACCATGCCTGATAATGCTCAACACTCAGTTCTGGTTTTTAAATGTGATATGTAAACATTGTAAAGCTAATTAAAAGTAAAAACGAAACTGTGTTAATTTTGGCACATAATTGGTTGTAATCCACCGAGTGCTGCTATGGCTTTCATCACCAAATTACCTCCATAATACAGTTTTTTTGGGTTAGATCGCGTAAATATATAAATGTGCCGTTAAACCCGCCACCACCCAACACAGCCAATTAGGAAGTTTTCTCACGTAAACAGAACATGCCAATTCGTTACTTGTACGGCACACCGGTGTGTTGAAGAGCGAATCCACAACATTTACAATCTGAGTATGACGTTTCACTAGTTATTACAACTAGCTTCATCAGGCGACAGGCAGATTAGTGTCGGGTGGTGGCGAGTTTAACGACACATTTTTATGTATATACGCGATATAACCCAAAAAAAACTGTATTATGGATGATATTGGTCGCGAAAGCCGACGTGTTAAACCAAATTACCTATTTAATTTATCACGATGCCACAATCACTGTGTTTCAACCATGATGAAGCTCTATACATATATTATTGTGGAAACCCTCGAAGTTAGGGCTGCAGCCCTTAAAGTCGCTGCAAAAAGCCAGCCCCTGATCACGCAGCGGCGTCAATCTTGAGTGTGCAGGCCATGGACCAGGGCCCATGGGCCCTTTAGCCAGAGGGGCCCAAGCACCGGGCCACGATGAGTGGGTTGCAAATTCGAGATGCGGCCCCATTTACTTCCAAGCACCATTGAACAGTTTGAACAGTTTATTTAGAATTGCCCTGTGAGCTAAGAAGTTCTTGAATCGGGTGCCAACCGAGCTAACGTGACGCAGAGCGAAAACGCCGCGTTCCGTCTGGTTTATGCCGTGCTCATAATGCACCTCCGATTTCTCACACCTCCGATTATCACGCTTGGCTACGTATGGTGCGAAAGAAGTTCAACATGTATGCATACATGTGTAATGACATGGTGACACCTGCTGGCCGGGAATGGGAAGCACGGGTACGGGCACGGTTAAAGTAACCAATCAGAGAAAGAGGTGTATCTGGGGCAAAGGTAACAGGTGGGGTTAGCCGAGATACTCCGGGAACCTGCTCAATGGTTCCACGAGAGGGTGTGTTCAGAAGCAGGGCCTAGCCACGCCTGGGGGATATAAGGGGGAGCAGACCTGGGGCTCGGGGTTCATGTGTGGATTCTTGGGTCCTGGCTGCGTCGCTGCTCGCCGACATCTCTCTCGTCCGGCCACGTGGAAGATCTCCTGTGGGGTTTCCATCGCCATCATCGTCACGCCGCCAGCCAGCGGCATAGCCGAGTGAGGGCGGTGGGACCACGCCGAGTGATCGGCCGTGTGTGTAGCCAGTAGAGATGTTAATATCTAAGTGTTGTACTCAGAGTGAGAAGAATAAGTGTTGGCCTGTGTTGTGCCCAGTGTGAGAAATAAAAGAAGTATCCTCTACGCGACGTGTCCCGGAAGTCGCTCATTACACATACATGCATCTAGGGCAGGCGTGCGCTCGTGTCATTGATGCAGACAATGTCCTTCCTTGACTGTGCCGCCACACTCCAGTGGACAAGAAGTGGTCCGACTGGGGCTCCTGGAGCTCGTGCAGTACGACCTGCGGTCGGGCCGGCTACCAGACGCGCAACCGGCTCTGCATCTCTACGGGAGCCATCGTTCCACAGAGGACGCAGTGCGAGGGCAAGGGGGTGCAGGGTCGCCTGTGCTCCAAGCCGTGCCCAGGTTCGTGCCGCGCGATCGACGGCGGGTGCTCACGCTAAGTTGGCTCCGACGTTGCGGAATAATCTTGAGGTTCCAATTTGGTCATATGCTTCCCTGCACGACTTTAAGAGTGTGACGGTAAAAAAAAAACATGTGCGGTCGAAATATTTCTGAGATGTGTCCCACTTTTCTGGGGAGGGGGCAGAATAATTGTCCGGAATGCGAAGTGTAATTTGTTGTTGTTGTTACTCGACAAATATGATTCGCATGGCTGGGAAGGCTTTCCCTGGCTTGTGAACGCAGTTGATTTGCTATGCACCGGCAATGGCTCCTGGTTCCCTGAGAATAATCTAACATGAGGTGTGCTGTTGATTTGCAGCCGTTCACGGAAATTGGACAACCTGGACCAAGTGGTCGGTGTGCGGCGTGACGTGCGGGAATGGACAACAGCTGCGTCAACGATGGTGCTCCAACCCCACACCCAAGTACGGGGGGCTGGACTGCACGGGGGCCGTCCTGCAAAGCCGCTTGTGTGCCAAACCTACCTGTCCAGGTAAGGTGCTACGCCTTGCTCACAAAGTGCCAGACTCTATTAGGACAACAGAAGAAAGTTTTGCTGGCTGGCTGGCTGGTGATGTCACCGCGCATATTTGGACGATGACGCTGCCCGCATCTCAGAGCGTTGAGCCGGGTTCGAGTGTGCAGACCGTCACGCCTACCCCACACCACCTACCCACCCTCTACGCGGCCATGCGTCTCATTCACATGCACGGGCAGTACGTACTCGTTTTGTAAACGAGAGGTAGAGATTGCTCGCTCATGTCACTGCTGGCGGATGGGCCTCCACTGAAGGGTATTTTGGTCGACTGCCACACTGGCCAGGACGTCTTGAAGGAGGCGGGAGTGTCCACGCTTTACCCCACCACACGCCACCTGCTGATCTACTCACTGTGGTTGTGATCATTTATGCTGCCTGGTGGCGAACTTAATATAAAGGATTTAAAAATATATTCGCCTGTGGAGGACGCGGGGATCGATCCCGCGACCTTTGGCATGGGAAGCGAGGGCGCTACCAACTGCGCTACTCCGCCACGGCCTGTGGAGGGGTTACGCTCTGGGCTCTTACACTCTGACGTTCAGCCAAAGCCATGAATGCGTTCTATTTGAATATATGTAAAATATATTTTTTTTGCCTAAACAGTGTAAAATTTTGGGAATTTTTTTTTCACGAACAATAATTGTCTGGCACAACGAGTCTGTGTGGAAAATGTCAGCTCGATTGGATCACGGGAAGTGGGTTAAAAAACGACCGAAAGATTTGCACGGTCCTAAGCAAGCAAGCAAGCACGCGAACTTAATATAAAGGATTTAAAAACAACATACAAAGTTGTTTCAAGTGCCTTGCCGGGAACTTGAACTGTAAACCTCTCAATTGTCCGGTGTGATGACCATTACACCGTGGCAGCATCTCTCCAACCTGTTGTCTTGACTTATATTCAGTGCTTTGTATTGTCCTATATTGATGCAATGACGAATGAAGTTGTGCAAATGAAATTGATGCTTAAGGCGGTTGTTTGTTGTTGCTGTCCTTATTCAAAACCTGCCTCAGAAACGGTCACAAGGAGAATGGTGTCTGCTTACAAGCCACCAGCACCCCTGCCAACTCCAGCGAATAAGCCGGGTAAATAAAGTAAATACCTAAACAGACTGTCTAAATGAAACACGTATTTATAAGTTAAATATCAAAACAAATTCAAAACATCATTCGTGAATGTTTGAGCAATACATTTTCCCATGAAAAATGTTGCTGACGCTTTTATTTTCAATACTTTTTTTTAACATTTTCAAATTTAGATTGAAAGTGTGAATGTATTAGTACTGTCTGCCTGTCTGTATCTATTGCCTATCTGTCTCTTAAGGCGGGTACAATAACATTTTAAAAGGTGATCCAATATGAACACAAATTTAGTGTAAAGTTTTGTTATATTTGCAAACTCTTTCCAAAAATGGCCAGATTGATCGAAGGGTTCCCCAAAACGTGGAGCGTGGACATCATCACCAGTAGAGCCACAATTCAAGCCATGATTTGTCATCGCAGCCTACGGAAAATAACTCTAATAGAGCAGATCAAATATCAACGAGATTGTATTGTTAAGTTGTTTTGCTTTTAGGGACGAACCGTATACCTCCGAATAGTACGGTTAGCTACATACAGCGTGTATTTTTGACATTTGACTCCTGAACCTTTTTGCCGCACGCAAGAATAGAATAAACGCAAGAATAGAATGTGCAGTCACCTTTTTAGTATGTACTGTATGTTGAACTTCTTTCGCACCGTACGTGGCCAACTGTGCTCATCAGAGGTGTTTGGGAAGGACAACAAACCAAACACAAAAAGCGGTTCTAAAGAAATGAATTTTCAATATAGATGAATTAAAAGTGCATAGCGCCGTGACCATCTTTGTTTGATGGTTAGCCGAAAGCTACTGCCAGGATGATCAGAGTTTGCGTGATGGTTTACCTTTAAAATTATAAACTATTTTTCTATTTTACTAGGTATTGCCCACTGAGCTATATACTGTAGCTCTTTTCCAGAAGCAACCTGGACACAAATGATAGCTCAAAAAAGTGGCTTATCACGTGTAAATTTCTAGCAGCTAAATACTCTCAACACATTTTTCTAAATGTGGAGGGAAAACCCAAAAGACCCGAAGAAAAATCCACGCGACCACGGGGAGCGAGCGAGAGAGAGAGAACACGCAAACTCCAAATATACAGCATGCCTCAGGGTCGGGATCGTACCCACGACCTCCTGCATACCAGGCGAGGAAGTTAACATCTCGCCACCACGGCACCCTTTGCACGCTCTTCTCCCCATGCTGTCGCAGCGTGCAGTCTGTCCTGCACCGTGGGGCACGTGAACGCGGCGTGCGACGCGTGCGTGTGCGACGGTCACCTCCTGGACGGCGCCGTGTTTGGCGCAGCCCGCACCCCGCTCGCCGGTGCTCGGGTCACGCTGCTGGAGGGGCCCTCTCAGAGGTGGCTCGCCGTGTCGGATGCCCACGGATCTTTCCGCGTGCCGGATTTGTGCCCGAGCCGAGGGGCACGCCTCGCAATCGAGCACGAAAAGCACGTGCCGACGACGGCGCCGATCCTCTGGGCCAAGGGGCCGTTGACCGTCTTCAGCGTGCAGCTGAAACGCGCGGGTGAGCTTGCGCGAACCTTTGCGAGTTTGTGACGCCAGTCAACAGCGTGACCTCGGCCAAAGTCGGCAAGGGCACAACGTTAAACGAGCTTTGAGCGAACGTTAAACGCGAAACAGAACAAGGAACAACATGGCCTGCTTTTGTTTTTCGTATGTTCTGTTCTCATTCTCTCACCCCCCTTTGTAGATAAGGAAAAGCTGTCGTGGGTATTCTCCGAATTAGCATATTTTTAGTAAACACCACCACTGTTAAATGTTACACCAAAAGTTTTTGACTTAACTATAATAATTTAAAATGGGGTCCTGAGCATTCAGTAGGGAGTCCTCAGTCCCCTCCATCCGCCCCTGCCACTGTGGGACAAAAATATGACAATTTCTCCATTCCCAACAATGACGACAATAACCAAGTTGATGTATTTTAGCCATTTCGTAAAGATGTGCATCGGGGTTTGTGTGTTAGCTTCTACTCATACAACATTGGCTAAACACTGACAAATATAGTGTCTAAGGAGTTAGAATGACTGCAGGATTATCATTATCATCCAGGATGAATTCACTGCAAGGTGAAGGTGACCCCCATGTTGTCGCCATCCTTCGTAGTCTTGACACGTCATAATCCAACTGACTTCTACACATGACCTAATCTCATCTTCATGGTGATCATACTGCTAGGCATGTCACCTCTATCAACTACTATTCTGTTATCAGTCTTGTCCATCAGCTATCTTTTTGCCAAAGCCCACTTCACTTGTCTTAACTGTCAATGATGATGTCTCTCATTTAATTTGCAAGTTTCGAAATCGTTTCCTGGTATATTAACCAGCCCGCATTCACCGGTCTGGCGAAGTATAGCCATAAAACCACACATCATGAACATTGATTCTTAACCACATTTCCCAATCCCCAGAAGCAAGGCCCCGTGGTCGGATTCTAAGGAGCAAGGGGTGCTAAGAATAACTGTGTGGAAGACAACCAGTAATGCTGGGTTGAATTATCTTAGACCTCTGTAGACTATATGTTGAATGTGAAAGCGTGTAGGTAATCATAAGAACAAAGCTATTTGTTATCCAGGTATAGAACCTTTAAGTCACTCTGGATTTGATCAGGTAAGGGAATGGAATAATATGTACTATATTAGGAATGTTTATCAAGAGAGAGTAAAGACATATCGAAATAAAAACATGATATAAAATGCCATTCTATGAACTGCAATTTCAACTACATACGACACATAGCCCCACATTGCATTATTCACGGCACAAGTTGTGCATTTGCTCTCCGACAGCGGTATCCTTACACACATTATATCAGTGGATATTTTAACGAGGTTTGTTTGCTCTGCCAGAAAAACCACACGTCACCAAACACCCAGAGGGCAGAATGCGCTACGAAGGACAAGGAGTGAGTTTGTGCTGTAAAGCGGAGGGAACGCCAACTCCAGAAAAATACTCGTGGTAAGCAACGTTACTTCGTGCACACATGACACATGCATAATCAACGTTTTTTTGGGTTTAGATCGCGTTATTTATAAATGTGTCGTAACCCTCCACCACCCGACACGGCCAATCAGTAAAAAAGTGTCACGTTGACAAAAGACAATTAGTTCACTGCTTTAGCCCACCGGTGTGTTGAAGCGATAACACATGCAGTGAAATCGTGACCTCATGAAAGTCTACAATGTCGACTGAAGGAGTGCAATTAAGAGGAAGAATTATAAAAAATGGAGGTCCGGCCCATACTTCCAATTTCTGAAATGCGCCCTAATCCACCAACCTCAATCGCTTTTTCTGCGCACTCGTGATAACGTAGGTTATACGAGTTGCGCGTTTGTAAATGTACTTATTTACAGTACTCTTAGTTTTTTCGGTAAAGTCACGTAGGTAAATTTTTTTATTAAAATTAATAAAAATAAGATAATAGAATAATAATCTATTAATTTATTTTTATTAATTTCAAATTTTTACCTACGTGACTTTACCGAAAAAACTAAGAGTATGAATCCTTGCAGTCACGAAAGCTTCAAATCTAGAATTATTTACAGTAGTTTTACGACCACGGAAGACGACTTAAGAGATTGGTGCCGGAAAGATGTGCACTGCTTGAGAATAATGGCGCAAGACAGAGGAAAGTGGAAACTAATTACGAAATGTGCGGTGAACACCTACGGTCTATCTGCCCATGGATCGTGATGATGATTTAGAAGTATATTTAATTGCATATTCTCTTAATAATTTTTGTTTATGTATTTGGTGCCAAAGCCATCAACATTTTTCAAAACTTGAGCCACCGGTATTAAATTAAAAGTGGCAATATAATTAAGCCAATGGCCACCGACAATTTGCAAACAACATTCCAATCTCAAAACCCAATTCATGTTTGTACTTAACCCACACTAAACGAAAAACAACTGGCCATGTCTTCGTGTACATACCAGGTGTACATTACTTATTGTAGGGAAAGCCAAGGAGAGAGCGTGGTTCTTGAAACAATTCACAACATGCCAAGCTGTGCTCATACTTACAATAGGCTGCAGGCGCTGGAACATGGTAATGGAAACATTGTTGCATGATGTGTGATATCACTGCTGGATACAAGCCACATCACTATGTAACAATGTGCTACTTTTGCTGGATAGCGGTGCATGTGGCCGCGTGGCGTGTCTATGCCAGGGTGCCTCCCTCTTTACTCACCATTGTGTCCGAGACGTGAAACACTTCTCTGGGCTGTCATCTTGAAAGTGTGCTTCTCATTTGTAATCTTGCCCCAAGGTATCACAATGACACTCTGCTAGACCAGGAGGTGTATAAACATGGCAACCTCGTGCTGAAAAATCTAAAGCCGTCGCAAGCAGGAGAATACTACTGCAAGGCAACAAACATTGCTGGCTCCATGAAATCTTCACCAGCTACCCTATATGTCGTGGGTAAGGACTGCATACTGTGTTCTCTAGTTTCAATACATTCATTGCAGTGATTTAAAGGTTATTTTGGGCTCAATGTATGGTTTACTTTGTGCGGTACATTTCCAATTTATTTCAGAGAGTACAATCCAATAAAGGTTTTTATTTTATTTTTACACAGTAACTGCACCTTTGTGTCCACATATTCAATTGCTTTAAGATGTCCATTTATTAATGTGTCCTACTGTATGTTTTCATAACAGAAAAAGGTAATGCCCCATGTGACCCAAAGCCTGAGACAAACTTGATAAGGCTTCCACACGACTGCTTCCAGAACCACACGAACTCGTTTTTCATCGACGTGGGGAATTGTCCCAAGAAGGTGTGCGTCAAGGAACTCGACTTCGACCTGCGCTGCAAGGACAGTGTCAGCCACTGCTGCGGCATCACCAGGATGGAGAAGCGGGACATCCAGTGCAATGGCTACACGCTGCCCACCATGGTGGCGGCCGAGTGCGGCTGTAAGAAGTGCACGCAGACCAAGATGATTGTGCGCGGGAGGGCCGTGGCTGACGACAACGGGGAGCCGATGAGGTTCGGCCAGATGTTCATCGGCAACATTGCCATCGGGTTCACCGGCTACAAAGGCGACTTCAACCTGCAGGTGCCTCCGGGCACGGAGAGGCTCGTGGTGACCTTTGTGGACAGGTTTGGGAAGTTTGTGAACAGCACCAAGGTCCTGCTCTTCAACCACAAGGGAGGAACGGTCTTCCACAACATCAAGTTGCAGAGAAAGAAGCCCGCCATTCCCATCGCTTCCACTGTCACCAACACGATTAGCCTGGGTGAGATGGAGGGGGAGGATCCAATTGGGCAAATAGAAATTCCGCCCAACTCATTCTACAAGTTGAATGGGGAGCTGTACAACGGCACTGTGCAGGCCAGCGTCACTTTCCTGGATCCGCGAAACATCACGACAATGTCGTCTGCCTCTAGTGACTTGAACTTTGTAAGTGACAATGGCGATATGTTTCCCTTGCGTACGTATGGCATGTTTTCTGTTGACTTTATGGCGGAAAATTTGCAGGAGCCTCTGAACGTCGGACAGGTTAAGGTTTTCCTCGACTCGGCACAGGTTAAAATGCCACAGCATCTGAAATCAATGAAACTGTGGTCTTTAAATCCAGAGACCGGAATGTGGGATGAAGAAAGCAACTTCCTGTATGAAAAATCCAAAAGGCGAAAGAGGGAAGAGCGTACATTTCTCATAGGAAACGTGGAAATTAGAGAACGCCGGTTGTTTAACCTCGATGTACCGGAAAATCGCAGGTGTTATGTTAAGGTGCGTGCTTACAGAAGTGACAGATTCTTTCAGAGTGAGCAGCTTGAGGGTGTAGTGGTCAGCCTGATTAATATGGAGCCGCAGGAAGGGTTTTCCGCAAACCCACGCGCGTGGGGAAGATTTGACAGTGTCATCACAGGTAAAAACGGTGCTTGTTTGCCAGCCTTTTGTGATGAGCTGGTCCCAGATGCTTACACTGCCTACGTGACAGCCAACATTGGGGGAGAAGAACTGGAGGCAGCTCCGTCCAGCCCCAAACTTAATCCCAATGTTATTGGCACGGCTCAGCCATACCTAGGAAAGCTTGAGTACCGACGTACTGACCACGATGACGAAAGGTTCAAGAAGACTGCTTTCAAGATTAATTTAGCAAAACCAAATGCGAACTCCCCAGCAGAAACTGATGGGCCAATCTATCCTTTTAAAAACATCAAACAGTGTGAAGATGCCCCTTACAATGCTAATCATTTCAGATTTTATAGGGTGGAAGATGACAAGTATGAGTTTAATACCGTTGCATTCAACGAAAACGACTTGACAACCTGGAACGAAGATTACCTGTCCTGGTGGCCAAAACCAATGGAATTTCGTGCCTGCTTCATCAAACTGAAAATCAAGAGCTCCGCGTCCGTGATGATACGTTCCCGAAACCTTGGGGGCACTCACGTGGAGACAATCGACAAACTCTACGGCATTCGCGACATCCGCAGCGTCCACACCAACCTCAAGGAGAACGTATCTTCGGCATGCATGGAGTTCAAGTGCAGCGGCATGCTCTTTGATGAGAATCTCATTGATCGCACGCTGGTGGATATTTCGACGCAAGGCGACTGCCGCCGGGAGAACATAAACGGCATGCTCCAGGAGTATCTGATCAACCACCCACCGCACATAGTCAACAACGAGACGCACGGCTTCAAAATGTACGCGCCTCTGGATCCGTTGGGACACAACTACGGCATTTACACGGTCTCGGATCAGGACCCCAAAACCGCCAAAGAAATCGCCCTCGGCCGATGCTACGAGGGCTCGTCGGACAGCACGTCCCGCGTCATGAAGCCCGACGTGGGAGTGGCGGTGACCTTCGCGTGCCGCGAGAGCAACGTGACGCGACAGAGCCTCTTCCAGCGCCTGCAGACGTCGCCGGCCGAAACCCTCGCCGAGATGGGGCGCGAGATGCGCGGCGGCCTCCCCGGGAGAACCCGGTTGGTGTCCAGCCGAGGTCAGGTCCGCGGTGGCCGGAGGCAGCAGCCGCAGCAGGCCCGGGCCCGGCTCGTGAGCACGCGGAGATTCCTGCAGAGGAATCGGTCCGCTCAGTGATCGCAATGGCATGGTGAACTCTACGACTGAAAGATTGACATGTGGAAAGGGAAAAATAAAGCACCAACCCCCCCCCCCCCCCCCCCACGTCTTTTTAAACTAAGCCGTCTTGCATTGCACGGGTGGGAAATGTATGGATGGTTTACAGAGATTGGAAGTTATTGACATACGAAGGAAAGATTTTTGGGTTGTTGACGGTCTTACAAATGCATTGAATGTAAAGGCATTTTTTTTGGAGAGCCGCATGTGCCTTTGATTAGCATGAAACTATTAGTGACTATATGAATGAGCATTTTTTTAAAAGTGGCTAAAACATTACAATGTGTGAGAAACATAACATTTTTATTCGAAACTAATTGATTTTGCCAGTGTACAAATAACAATGTGCACATATCGACAAAAGCACTATATGATTACACTACTTTCTTTACATGGTCATGTTTAAATAATTAAATAAATACAACATTTCACATTTCTGCTAACGTATGCTTAAATAACATGAAGAAACTGCAATTTGTTTGGCAGCTTATATTTAAAATTTGCCCGCTAATGCAATATCATTCAAAACATTTCAATGTACAATACTTAAACTGAGAAAGCAACTAAATGTGTAAGTATACATGAATTGATGTGCACATAACAATCACCATGGTAAAGAGTGCGCAGACCATTGGAGTTATCATTCACTCCAAACTGTCTTTCTCTTGCCACGTTTCTCAACCTTATTGCTCCATCTGCGCAACATCTTCGGCATCTGCCATTTCGACATCTGCCAATTTCTCATACCAGCTAATGCCCGGCTGCTGCTGAGAACCCTCATCCATGCCATCAAATCCAAACTCGACTATTGCAACTCTCTCCTCTTTGGCCTCCACATATCCCCATCACTAAACCCTAGACGATTCGAAATGCCACTGCCAGACTTCTCAACCGCACCCATGAACAAGACCACGGTAATACAAGCTGCCGTGGGCCCCATTTGCCACCTTCAATATCGTCCATGGATTCACCCTTGACTCCCTCTGCTTTCTCATTGCGCTCTACCCTCCACCATGCACTTTCTATCTCTAAGCTTTCTCTGCTAAATGCCTTCAGTCAAACTTCGCTCATTGTAAAGTTGCTCAATCTCCTCTGCTGGCTTCTTCGTCTGGGGCTCCCTATCCTAAACTATCAACTGCCTGCTTCTGTTCAATTCCAGCCTCAAGACCTTTATTTATTTTCCTCTATGACCAACTGCACTCTCTTCATAAAATAAACACGCTCACTGCTTTTGTACAGTGTCTTAATATGCGGTTGCATTTAGACACTATAAAAATCCAAAGTGTATTGCGGTATTATTTTAGTTTGATATTGAATGATACTGAACTTTTTCAATAATGATAAATATAAAAAAAATGTCAGGTAATTAGCACTAATATGAACTGTTCAGAAATATATGACTATATATTATTGGTACATTAACATTTTAAATGTATTTACAGGAACATCGTATGAAGAAAAAAATCAAGATAAATGTTTAGCTTTGGTACATAACGTTTATAGACTTCAATGAAAAGTTCAATTTTACAACACAGACTGTACTTTGAAATTGCATGTCTGAATTCAGTTTACTGACATGAACTAAATGGGTGCTTGTTTTCAAAATTAACTTATTTCCACTTAGTATTGTTTTTTAGATACTAGAGATTAATGATGCACCTAAAATGATGTGCATTAATTAATTTAACCTGAATCGGCTGATGGAGTGTGTATTATCATTTGAACAATGTTACGTTTTTAAAAAGTGGAGAAACTTCTACATACTTGGAGTCTGAAGGTTAATAAAAAAAATATTTACTGATGTTGTTTTATTTTTTTAGATTAGCTGTTTTATGTACATTTTTCTTTTGGTGGTTTATGCAAAAAATAAGCACTTTCTATAAAAGCCCATGCTTGAAAATTCAAAAGAACGCAGTTTACAATGGAAACTTCTACAAAAAGAAATACTAAATAGACTAACTGCTTGATAAATGAAGACCATCTATTGTTGTGTATCTGCTGTGGTATCTTAAAATATTACTATTCACAATATACTGGACTATTTCTAGACATTTAAATAGGGTTAAACTGGCCATTATAGGTGGCCATTTAACACTAATGTCCGGCGTGTGTAATATTTTTTCTATTACTACAATGCCATAAAACATTTGGTTGCTGTGATGATAGTGTATTGTAAATTCAACAATTTGCAATCTAAAAAACAAATTACACGTTTTTTGGTCCCTTTATTAATGTGTGCTTTAGGCAGGACACATCCCGAGAACGATTCAAAATGAGCACAATAATTAAAGCTGGATTCCTATTGGCAGTAAGCCTAATTTTTTTCAACCATCATGACAACATTGAAAACAAATGTATTTCGTAATACATCAGACTGTTAACACGATCCTAATGTTGGTATGAATACACTGCATCTATGCTTAAACCGTCAAATTATTTGATTTGTGATCTTGAATGAGATTTTCCGGGCATTTCAGTTCAGTGCCATCGTATCTTTGAAGGTGCCGGCAGTTATAAAACATATTTAGTATTCTCTCATTGCATAGCTCGACAAGTATTTCGTGTACTGTGTTTAACATCGCAAACAATGTGTGCAGTAATGAATATTGCATTAGTGTAATGAGTTGATTTGGAAAATGTTGATACTCAACAGCACATGCAATGTAAAACAAAATCATGGGCATGCAATGGAGACTCAAAGCTGTGTACATAAATATATGTACATAAAACTGTATTTACTTTAGTGTACATACATTAATGCTGCATGATTTGACAGTCACGTACTAGGTGTGGCCATTTAAATTCAAACATGTGGAATTATTTTTTTTGCAGATGACGTTCACTCCATTTGCCACAAACAAAATATGGTGAAATGTGGATTGATACGATTTTTAACCCATATGAAATACAGCAGTTTCATCACGAACAACTAAGTGATTCACTAGGTCTGGGCTATGTTTGGTTAATATGTATAAAGGCTCAGTGTGGCCAAGGCAACTGTCATCTTGTGAATTATTTTTTCATTTATTTTCATCAACTACTTGAAAAATATAGAACATAAAAATTACAGAATAGCAATGCAAACGTTTTCAAACAACTTTATTTTAATATTGTAAGCTTTGTATTAGAGAAACGTTATTAAAATAAAGACAATATATTAATATTCCAGAAATGTGTGAATTTATGACATTTGGCTTCAAAATTTGCAAGCAGCATCTGGGCGATTTTATCTTGAGCCAACGTCTTTCCTGTATTCGCAACAATTTGATTTAAGGTGTGGCAGGTGCACCTTACACTTGATGTGAGCACTTTCAAAATGTACATTGGCACACTTACTTTAACAGGGTTCTTAAGTGTGTTATATGCATGTGCTTTAATATGATGCGTTTGGATGCCTTCAGTAGTATTGCTGGCATGCTAACATGTGAAGCTGAAGAGAAAAGCATATTTAGCGAGTGTTGCTACTGGCAGACAGCCTTGCAATCAATCCAATTTAAAAAAATATCCAGTGCAGAGGAAAGTAATTCTCTCAACAAAAGAATATTAATTAGGATTTTGTAAAAAATCTCATTGTGCCTTTGCAATCAAGATTATGGGTATCATTGTCAGTTTGGCATTAGCTATTTTTTTCATGTTTTATAAGAACATTGCAGAATATCGCGAATTGAGATGCTGTTACTTTTTTTTACAAAAAATATGATTGAGCATTCGTCCAGGTGAGAATCTTACTCTAAGTCCGTGCCATCAGTTCGCAACTTGAAATTCCAATACCCCTTGGAGGGTGGGGTGCAGAGGGACGGTACACAGGCAATGACTGGTCTTATACTAAGCCACGTTGCTCTGTGTGGACCAGCAATTATAAAGCTATATACTTATCTGTTTCATGGAATTTGAAGAAACTTGTGCACTTGGATGTCCTCAGTCTGCCACATGTTCCACGAATGCTCTCTTTTCTTTATTACATATATATGGTACAAAATGGACACTAAAATAATTATTCAATCCCAATAAAAAATCTCTCAGGCCTACCTCTTCTACTTCATGGTGATAAGTGACTTGCCTTGAACACAGCATAGTATGTTCTTAAATTCAATTAAAATGTAAACGTTAAATCAAGGTTCCTTAATTGTTCAGTTATTAAAAGTTAATCAAACGTCTTAGGTTTTAATTATGAGTATAATGTAATAAGCAATTATTCAGTTATTTAATTAATACTATCATATAGCTGGCAGGGTTGAGTGAGCAGTTGATATGTCTTGTAGGGGTACACGGCAAACAAAAGGTTGGGAACTACTGGCCAAGGCTATACTTTCAATATACTTTATACCGCATTGTTATATTTGCACGTCCAGGTACTTTAAATTGCAGTATGATGTCTTAATGTGGACACTTTTGGAAGTGTGGCTGAGTCTCTTGCTGGCTGATTTCATTTCTTGAATGGGGTGAGTGACAGCTTGGTAGGACACTTGACAAACACCAAACCATCTTCAACTTTCACCTCGTAGACTCTTTGCTAGGTAGAAGAGAAAAAAAAGGGATTGACATTTTAACAAAAAAATGCAACTTGAACATATAACATTTTTATAAAGCAATATTGTTCGTAAAACATTGCATATGGTGCAGTATGTCATCTGCTGGGCCGATATTTTGTTTACCTGTAATCCTGTGTCTGACTTTCCAGTTTTTACGTCAAACTGATAGTAGTGCCACGGACACGTAATCTTCAAATTCCCTCCTATGTCTTCAATGTCACCTTCATTTAGTGGTCCACCTTTATCGAACAAAACAATTACATTTCAACATTTACGAAACCGAAAACATCCATTGAGGGACACTCTATATCCCCCAACATTATATGAAGGCAAAGTGTATTTAACCCAAGTGATCGCCACTATATATTGACAAATATGCTGAGTATGTGTTGATATTTTTTGTTTGTTTAAATCAAACGTAGTTTGACCTCTATAAACAATAGCCACTTTATACCAGAAGTACCATCCCTTTTCAACGGAAGTAACCCCCTTTCGTGCTCCTGGTATTCTCCAAATCTCACCGCACCATTAATATGTTTTGATATCAATGAATACTAGGCTAAACATGACATCAAAGACAAATACAATCATGACAATGGGTTTCCACGCAAAGCAAAACACACCCCATGAATACACTCACCTGTCAACCCCTGATCAGTGCCCCTACCTTATTACAGACCAATTTGGACCTTATTGGTCACCCCGTGCCCCTCATAAATCTCAAAGTTCATCCTACAAGAGAAACGCCAGCAAAGAGACCAAAAAAAGAATATTCCTAAACAAAAACCGCTTCGTGTATTATTGACAGAACCTCCGCTGGCACTCAGCAGTTAGCAGCCGTGGAGTTTCCATAAATAAGCGGTGGCTTTCTGCCATCACCACCAACCAAACCAAACCAACCACACACACAGACAGCAGCAGCAGTCACAGCTGCCACGGAGAGTACGAGGCGGCGGTGGTGGCCGCGACACTGAAATGTCAACAACCTTGATGCGGGCAGCATGCGTCCATGGCGTAGAAGACATCCCGTGCGGCGTCGTGAATGATCGCCACGTCCCGCTCGGGTCCCGACGAGGAGAAGAGCCGCCTGCACGGTGTCTTCTCGAGCTCGGCTCTCTGTCCCACCCGCTGCCAGACGTCCACGGCTGACGGCTCGTCCCTCCGTTCAGCGGCGTGCTGCTCGTCGTCTTCGTCGGCGGCGGTGTCGCTCATCATTTATGGTTGGGGTGGTTTCCTGGAAGTCCGTCCGGACATCTGCGAGCACACCCCACACACACACACAAAGTCCCGTTGACGTTGCAGAGATAAAGAGCGGACAAGGGAAAGAGGCGCTTTGTTTGATGTCGCTGATGCGGCAATGACTTTAGATGTGGCGCTGTTTTATTGGTGGGGTGGTTTTTTTTTTCTTCTGCCACTGTTGTCACATTTTATGTAGAAGGCGAGAGATGACCTCGTTGTATTTCTGTCGTTCCACGGTTTGGCATGAGCTAGGGAAAGAAGGAAGAAGGGTTGTTAGGGTGGTATGGGGTTGGGGAGTAAACCACGGTGGGGTTTCGCAGCGTGTTTAGAGAGTTGTTTATACAGCGCAGTTGTGTGCTGCTGCTGCTGCTAAGTTGCATTCCAATGGGGTCAAGGTGAGGCTTGTTTTTTTTCTTCCAAATTTAAAAGAGAAGTTGTTTTCCACAATGCACTTTCTCCCCCTTCATAGTCCCTGACAATTGCTGCCAAATATCAAACCAACAACGGTGTATTGTAAACCCCTTGGAAAGATATAAACCATCTTCATTGTTGACATCATGTGCGGTGCGTTTAAATGTGATGGTTGTGCTTTTGATGGGACATAGAGGCAAGGTAAATCGGTATTTAGGTGTCTGTCCGCAACCCATCATCCTTTTTGGGGGTCGATAAAAAACGAGTACCAATTTATGAAACCAACAGTGGGTGCCCTCGGTATCATGGTCCCCGCCATATGAACGTGGAATGTTTCACCGCTGGTTCAAGGGCCATGGATTGACACGCCAACACGTGCACCTCTACATTTGAATGACTAGTACGAGTCCTATATGGTACAGTTAGTATTTTATGAGCACAGGTCAAACGCAGAGTACTTATTATTAGGACTCAACGCAAGTCAGTGGAGTCATTCTGGTGCAGTGGAACTTCAGTGCAGGTCATGCACCGTGCTATATTAGCAGGGTTATATAAACAAAAACTAAACCTTTGTTTTTACTTTAACAGCTAAGACCCACCGAGTTATTTTTACAGAAGGGACCTGGTCATACATTATATCTCAACCAAGTGGGCTTTTTTTTTACGTGGACATATAACGAATTGGCACGTTCTATTTACCTGACCTCACTAATTGGCTGTATCGGGTGGTGGCGGGTTCAACGACACATTTAGATTTACGCGTTCTAACCACTTGAACCCCCTCCCCCCCCCCTGTATTTGGGATGATATTAGTCGCGAAAGCCTACGAGTTAAACAGTCTGTTTACATATTCTTATTATTCTTCTGTTTACAGCCTATTTTGCCGTGCCTTTTTACACCTGATGAAGGAAGCTTGCGTTGCCTCCGAAACGTCATTATTTTATTTCTAATATTATTATTTAGAATATAATTTATTTTTTTATACCTACGTGACCTTACCGAAACAACCTAACAGCAGAGGTGAGGGCTCTTCGCCCTTGAACGTGACGGCGCAGTGCGGCTATTTACAAACGCGTTTCTGTGCGCGCGGCGGCGGCTTCTTCGTGCGCCGCTTGCCGTAGTCCGCCATGAGCGCCACCGCCACGTGGTGGCCGTCATTGCCGTTGATGCGTCGCCTTCACGCACTCACGCACACACTTCGACGTCGCTGTCGCGCTCACGGCGGCGACGAGAGCAGTTTCCCCACACACCGCCTACCTCCTTCGCCTGTTGTTCACGCGTAAGGGCCTCGCCCGGATGGAGCGCTTCGAGGAGGGGCTGGTGGCGGCACTCAAGGACGCGGTGCGCGGCTTGGGCTGGCAGCGCGCGGGGCCCGCGGGGCGACTCGCCGCCCAGCGCTGCACCAAGTGGGTCCCCCCCCCCCACACACACTCCCCTGTAACCACCAAGCCCCCCCCCCCCATTCTCCCCACCTCCCACATCCATACAGCCCCCCCCCCCCCATCCACCAGAGGTCGCAACCGGGTACCGGATACCCGGCGGTCGGGTACGGGTAGGCCGTGAGTCACTGGTGAGTCACCGTTTGTCACTCATTTCCCAACGTCTTGTCTCTTCTCACAATTCAAGTTCCTAGAATCAACCCACCCGCGCCTGCAACATGGCTTCATCCCAGAGGTCGCAATCGGGTACCCGATACCCGTACCCGAGTACGGGTACGGCCGGGTACGGGTAAGGAATCAAAACCCGTTTGCGACCTCTGCCATCCACCCATCCATCCACTCACATCCCCAACCATCCATCCACCCCCCGGGGCCAGATGTTTCACTCTGCGATAATTGCGTTTTGATTGTTTGGTTGCGAAACGTTAACACACGCTGAGAAGCCACGTCGTTGAGCTATTGTTTGTTGCCAGGTCTCTTCTGAAAAAGAAGACGCTAATTTGCCTGGTAAAATAAAAAAAAAACTTATTTTTTTGTGATGTGTAGAACTTCTTTCGCACCGTACGTAGCCAACCGTGCTAATCGGAGGTGCAGAGGACGAACAACAAACTAGACACAAATATCAGTTGTAAAGAAACGAAACGAGTATTACATTTAAAAGTGCCAAGCTCCAGTGGCTTGCCTTTCCTATCTTTGCACTCCCGTCGTGTTTTTGTATTGTAACTTTTTGGCCCGCCCCGACTTGGACATCTGTGGAAAAATAGCTTAATAGCTCGTCGGATTCCTCCAGTCCAAATCAAGAGTCTGATTCTGTACAGGAGCTACATGCCAATGTCGAGGGTATGCTGGCCACGATGAGAGAGAGAAAGGGCTTCAGCAGTTAAGTCACAAAGTTCCTGCAGTTTTGCTTTTCTTCCAACGTTGATGAGCGCAGTGGTTGACTATCTGGTCAATAGTTTTGGTTGCATGGCCGCAATCGCATTAACATGGCTTGTCTTTCACATTCCATTTATAAAGGAGCTGCGCGTATCAGCTTGTGGAATTATATTTAACTTCAAACTTAACACGTGTGTTAATAAGTGCCTGAAGAGGAATTTTTTTATGGACGCAACGTTTCCGGCAATGGTCCTCAATTGCATAAAATAGCCCTTTGCGCAGAGGATAATACGAATTGAAGATTGTTCTTTAATCATTGGGCTCAACAAGAATAGTCTTTTTACAATCGTTTTGGCATGACCAGTTTTTCAATTGCCATGTTAATTATCTCAAGTATTTGGTAATATATAAATCCTTCCATTGTTAAAGAGGATTACTAAGCCAACATTAAAATTATAAAATGTTTCCTGGCACATTTCATCGTGGGAAGATTTGTTCTTATGATCACAGAGTGTTATCCACTTGCCAATGCATTCATTCCTAGGCCCAATTGTCGGTACCAGCTGAGGTAGCATGACTTTTCTGGTCACAATGTCTTTATGTGACCAATAACAGGAATTATGTGATAATTTGAAATGAGTAGTTTATCAAATAATTCAGCCTAGCCATATAAATAAATACACCGAGTCTCAATACTTTTTTCAGGAGAGTCCTGCCAAGTATCCGCAGTAGGGGAAATGCTATGCATATTCCCAATTGAGAAAGTTGCGGTACATTTTCCAGCATCGGGATGTTTGGCCAACTCCAGTTATGTTGTGTGGTTTTTTTCAGCGATGGAAGGAAACCCAGGGGAGAACCTACAAACTCCACACAGAAAGGCTTAAACTCGCATGCACACTGCGATTCATTTCAGCTGGAGCTGTCTGGGGATAATTTCCAGAAAATATTCCATGAGTAGCTAAGCAATGTATGAGGATACTGGAGTAATTTTCTGTTTTTTTTTACATATAGCTGTTTAATTTTGTGCATCATTCGGATTCCAATTTTGTGCAATATAAGATTACATTACATCGGTGTGTTGGAGAGCAAATCCACAACATTTGCAATTTGAGTACGATGTTTCGCCAGTAATTACAACGTAATCCCCATTTACGTATGGTGGGTGACCTGTATAGGCATGCATTTAAACAATGTATTATTTGATAATTCGCTTCCAAGCAGCACTAAGCCTAGAGCTATCCGAATGGTTAAAATAATTTTTTATTCTCTCAATTTCGATATATTCTCGACTTAGTCTTGGCTAGTAGTAACGAGTTTTGCATAGAACTTCAACATTATCAAAATAAATTGAGTGCCCTTGTTGGCACGCGTGCTCTGCCACTGCCGACAGTTGTATTTGGGAGTATTTAATATTCCTTTGGTGTTATTTTAGTATCATGCTGATGATTCGTCTTGTCTGCCCAACATAGCATTTGCCACAAGAGCAATTAATCCAGTACACACTTTCTGTTGATAGCTTTTGTAATACATCTTTATTACCAGATATCAGTTACCGTATTTAATGTACCGTGCCAAATCTGACTTGGATATTTTGTTTTTATATACACTGCTCATGCAGTGACCAACAGTACAACATTTTCCCTGTTAAAACCAGCATGGGGCAAGTAGTCATGTACATTGGTGGCCCTCAACCAGTGGTGAAAGTTCCATATTTACAATTGCTCTTTGTAAAAACAAACTTGCGCCAGGATCTTGAATCGAACCTGGTTCGGAGTCGAGTGCACTTACAGTTTGGCAATGCAGTGGAGAGACAACGGCCACCTGGCCAGAATCACTGGGAGGATGCTGGCAGCACATGCATAATGGACAGTCTCCCATTCCAGAAGATCTGTTTCTCTAGTAACTTAGTGTCAACAGCTCTATTGGAAATACACGTGCTCAGGATCATTGGCCATTAAGTTAACTCGCCCTCAATCCACTTCACATGAAGCATCATATATTACTGTTACAGCAATCGTGCTGTTGAAGGACGGAAGCTTGTGTTGCCTCCGAAACGTCGTGATTTTTTATTTTACTTTTATTAATTTAATTTTTTACCTACGTGACTTTACCGAATAAACCTAAGAGTATATATATATTACTGCATTCGGCTTTATTTTCCAGAAAAAGCATCAATTGAAGAAATAATTTTGCTCTTTGAGGAATTCCTTGACCTGTATTGTGGGATGTGAGGAATCTGGAGTGCCTTTTGAAAACACATTAAAATAATACAAAATACTGAAAGGTTCACACAGACTGGTTGGCAAACCTATTTGCTCGACTGTCATCTTCTGGCCATAAATATTCCCGTGGTCCACCAACCCTTGCCTCCAAAGTACTGGTTCACAGGATTACATTAATACTCCTGTCTCGTTGTGCATCTTTGTATTTTAACTTGTGAGGACCATTTTAATTTGCATCTCACTTTCGCTTTATTCATACAGTATTTAAAATGTGCTGCAGACTATTTTACAGATGATTGGTGCTTTACATTTATTTATCTTTACGTCTGATTGGCAGGTAAAATCATCAAGTGTTCCCTAGAGAACCGTGAAGAACTATACCAAATTCACATTTTCGTTAAATTACCCAATTGCATCACACCGCATTTGAGGAAACAGCTCTCGGTTCACACATGGATCACCGAGCACGGCTGCTGAGAGCCTTGACAGCGTTCCCCCTGGAGCAGTTTGTCACTTTCGGGGAGCGTCTCTTTCTTTTCCTTGAGCAACTCTTGGATGTGGAGGAGTTCGATGGGTGGTCCCGCTTGAGGAGGAGAGCTGTGATGCACCAGTACAGCCTGCTCCGTGCCCGGTTCCCCATGGTTCCACGCACCGTGGTGCCCGTGCGGCAGCCCCGCCGCATGTGGATGCGCGTCCGCACCTCCACCTGGTGGGAGCAGACATCTTCCGGCAGCGACGAATGGATGAAGTATTTTCGGGTGAGCAGGTCCATGTTCCACCGCATCGTGGAGATGGTGCGCTCAGAGATGGAGCCGCCAGCTTTACAGGTGCGCAGCCCGGTCCCGTTGGAGAAGAGGGTCGGGATTGCCTTGTACAAGTTGGCAAGCTACGATAAGTACAAGGAGGTGGGGAATATGTTTGCTGTTCACCGAAGCACCGTCCACAAGTACTTGTACAAATTCTGCCGGGTTATGGTGGAGCTCCATTTGCAGAACCAAATTGCTCTGCCGAATGAGCATGAAGGTCGCCGCATTGCTCGGGGCTTCCGGGAAAGATTCTCCATCCCCCAAGTCATGGGGATGATTGGCAGCACGCACATTCCCATCACCCCGCTCCGCGACTGCATACAAGATTACATGAACCGGAAAGAATGGCCTTCATTAGTGCTGCAAGCTTTGGTGGATGATAAGTTGAGGTGAGATGTTTCGTCCCGCACAAATGAGCAAACCAAATGCCCCACAAATGTTCACCGACTTTTTCTGCTTCTAAGTGTAGTTAATATATGGATTCATGCATATGGTTTATTTTAAAAGTTATGTTTGGTACAGCCACATACAAAACTAAACAACAACCTTGTGCATTTTCTTTGGGAAAGGTTTCGGGACATTAGCTGTATTGCTCCGGGTACCACACAAGAAGAGGTGGTGCTGAGACAGTCTGCTCTCTACGCCAACTCGCATTTATTGCCAGAGGTACATTTATTCTTCTGATCCTGTTTTAGTCATCTCGAATATTTACGGTTGAAGGTTTGTTTTGTCATCATTTGGTGATGTCAAATTTCAAATAATACAGTTTATGTCCACATTTCTGCACAACCCAGAGTGGAAATGTCATTTGCTTTGAAAGAACCTTTAGAGCATTTCCAAAAGAAATGTTTCGTCACATTTTCCAGAAGAAATTTTCAGAAAACCCATGCAGCAGATATTAGTGATTATTTACACCAGCGGTCGGGAACCTATGGCTCGCGAGCCATATATGGCTCTTCCAGTGACGGCAAATGGCTCCCAGACAATTTTGAGTTGAAAAAATAATAATAAAAATAAATAAATAAAAATCTGTTTGGAACTGATTTTAAAATACTTGTGATATTACTTAATAATACTGTGTCATTTTAAAGTAAACAGAAATTAGTTTTGAAGATAAATTTCACGGGTCACGCCTGCACGAAGCTCAACCTCACCACGTCGTATGAACCAGACTACAAGGCCATCAGCAAAACCTCGCAGCACCAGAAGTCGCATTAAAATTAAGACATTTAATTTATTAGACGTTAAAAGTACTATATGGCTCTCAATGAAATATATTTAGAAATATTTGGCTTTTATGGCTCTCCCAGGCAAAAAGGTTCCCGAGCCCTGATTTACACTATACTAGAGTATGCAATGGAAATCAACAATCCAGAACCATTGATATTAGCATTAAGATTTGCTTAGATATTTAGACTGCTTACATTGTAATGCAATGTATACCTATTCAATAATTATTAGTCCTTAGTCCACTGCTGGATAAATGCCTCCCCATCCAATATCAGTTGTCGGGGCTGTTTAACCATACTTAACCACGCTGGTCAGGTTGGATTAGTGACTTAGGGAAGGCCCAGGAACAGTTCAGATATCGATTTAAAGCTTTCGTGACTGCAGGGATTCATCTTCTTGGTTCTTTCGGTAAAGTCACGTAGAAGGGAAGGAATAAAATAATAAAAATAAAACAATAAAATAATTCTCACGACGTAGCCGAAACGTCGTGAGAATTATTTTATTATGTTTTATTTTTATTATTTTATTACTTCCCTTCTACGTGACTTTACCGAAAGAACCAAGAAGATGAGTTCAGATATCACTCGCCACTGATATGGCTGGGAATCGAACTGGAGTCGCCAGTTTTATAATGGAGTGTGACATCCACTGTGCCACCATTTCACCCCAGATGCCTTTATGATTCTACTCATCAGATGGAGAAATTCAATATTGAATGGAAAATGGTCAAGCAGTCTTCCTAATGGTATATTTTGGTGTGTGCTTGTTGTACTCTCCAGTGTCCAATGGAAATCTCTGGGATTGAGGTCCCGCTGCAGATTTTGGGTGATGCTGCCACACCTTTGCTGCCATGGCTTGTGAAGGGTTTCTCAGTTGAAAACCCCACCCCAGAGGAAGCCTTCTTCAACAAGCACATTTCGAACGCACGTTCCGTTGTGGACTGTGCATTTGGGCGTCTCAAAGCTCGTTGGAAAATTCTGTTGAAGAGGATGGAGGTGAATCCTACCTTTGTGCCACACGTTGTTGCCACCTGCTGCCTGCTTCACAACCTGTGCGAGGAGCATCACGAAGTTTTCAGGCAGCAGTGGATGGAAGATGTGGAAGAAGCAGAAGGCGAGCTTCCACAACCAGAGTCTCTGCCAAATAGACCTTCTGCAGATGAGATTACTGATGTGCGTGATGCACTTTGCAGATTCTTGGCAACCAGTCCTGAGTTTACATACAGTCTTCACAGACAATAGCTACATTATGAATCTCGCAGTCTCGCGACTGATTTTACTTGTTTCTTATTTGTGTTGTTTTGAAGGGCATTTCTCAATTTAGCACACTGCTGGATGATGCCTATTGGTGATGAAAGTTATTTCCCAAGGTTATGTGTTAGAACGTCGATTAGGATTCATTGACATTGCTAAAAATAACTGCAAGACAGCTGAGTTTTGATAACCATGCTGCCTTTCAAAGGTTGATTCTGTTGGTGGTGTGTAGAACACCAGCCACTCCCATTGTGAGTGGTGTGATTGTGCCGAGTGCAAGGGGCATGCTATATATGGTTCAATCACAATTCAGGAAATGTGCCCCTTGCCTGCGTACTGAAATGATTAAGATGAAACAAGTGCTTGGTTCAGTTGTTGGTCACCCCTGGTTCAGATGAATATACAAGGGCGGCAGAGTTTGACAGCATTCCATCCTTAATTTGACCACGGGAATTTAAGATAATTCCCTATTTCAATTGTATGAAGTGCACGGTGACAATCACTTTGTACAATGTAGGTAGGGTAAAAGTGAGAGTGAATAGTATTCTATTTTTGTTGTGATTTATAAATACAGGCTTTTTTATGGATAACATTCCAATTTGCAGTTTACAGTTATAAAACATTAAATAAATGTCACCATTTAATTTTAAAGCATGAACATGGTTTAAAAATATATATATTTCTACATATCTGTATTTTATGTTATCAGGAATAAATGCACAGTCTCTTTTACATACTTGGGAAAAAATATTACAATAAAAGCGAGGAAATCTTTAATAAAACTGACTACAGATTTAGTGGTGCATTTGACACTATACTTTTAAATTGGCATGTGAGCCTTACTGGCAAGGTCTGATCACATCTGCTGCACATGCACACATTCCCACGGGCCTATGCCAGATGTATTTTCCATGGTTTTCAAGACCAGCAGAGATACCTACTCACTTAATTCCGTTGCACAAATGGGCACGACTTCATCAAAAAAAATGTAAATTTGTATACAAAAGCTTGATTGCCTTAATTTGTTATCGGCTTAGAATATACAATTTTCCAACAAATAGGTTGAGTGTATTTTTTATATGTAGCAGAATAACTTATTTGATTAAAATGTAATGCTATTTCAGATACTTATGGTATAGCAAACGGTGATATAATTTTTTCAGAATTCTTGAATGTTGCAAGAATATTGAAGTAAAGTTAAACTAAACAATTGATATAGGTAGTGCAGTTGTAAATGTTGAGTTTACTGTGTTATTTCAAATAGGTCATGTGAATATTAAGGGATAACTGTCCATGCATTTTAGACTTTGTAAAGTTATGAAATGTGTTTTTGCAAAGGTACTGTGGATTTTGATTTCTTCATGCCTTAAATCATGCAAGTGTTTTGAAAGATAAACCTTTGCAGTATTTCGTTTTTTTGACTAAATTGTTACATGTAGATTCATTTGAAATTTTAAGTCCTGTATACTGACGAGAGGAATAATGCTGCATCGATTCAGATAGATTATTAAGCTCTTACTAAGTATATAGAAATGTGTGTTTAAAGATTCAATGTTTTAGTCGATATTTTTTTTGTTAATGTATCACATGACCCGTCCAGCATTAAGGACAGCTAAATGTACCACAATATAAAGCTTCAATTGAATCTGGAATTTAATCGCAACGATGAATTGGTGACACTTAACACCCCTAACAATGACTGGTTTATTTTTTATTCTACATTACGTCTGTGAATATATGTTTTTGCCATCGTGGTATCAGATTACAATGTCAGGCAGAACATTTACTGTAAAAAAAAAATAGAACAAGTCTTTATCGCATGAATAAGTGACTTGTGGAGAATTGTTGACATGGTCTTGCATTGATCCTTACCAGGCCAACGTGTGCACTTAATCATGTAAACCAAGTGAAAAAAAATCCGTGCTACTGCAGTTGTAAACTTTGTCAAACTGATTGGTGCTTTTGGTCAACCTGATTGGTGCTTTTTTTCGTGATGGCAGCGACTTAAAAAAAGGTGAAGCACATTATACTGTGAATCAATGTCTTGTGCATTTGGGCGTATAAAGTATGTGTATTGAAAAGTTCATTTTAATAAACACCTTTGTGTACATGTTTCATTCTTAACGTCTGAATTCAGCACTTGCAATAATTGAACATGCATTTAAGTGCACTATCGTACAACATTTCAAAATGTGTATTTAACACTAACACGTAGGCTTTCGCGACCAATATCCATAATAGAGGTTTTTTAAATCCTTTATATTAAGTTCGCGTGCTTGCTTGCTTGCTTGCGTGCTTGCTTGCTTGCTTAGGACCGTGCAAATCTTTCGGTCGTTTTTTAACCCACTTCCCGTGATCCAATCGAGCTGACATTTTCCATACAGACTCGTTGTGCCAGACAATTATTGTTCGTGAAAAAAAATTCCCAAAATTTTACACTTTCTAGGCAAAAAAAATTATTTTACATATATTCAAATAGAACGCATTCATGGCTTTGGCTGAACGTCACAGTATAGGAGCCCAGAGCGTAACCCCTCCACAGGCCGTGGCGGAGTAGCACAGTTGGTAGCGCCCTTGCTTCCCATGCCAAAGGTCGCGGGATCGATCCCCGCGTCCTCCACAGGCGAACATATTTTTAAATCCTTTATATTAAGTTCGCTTGCTTGCTTAGGACCGTGCAAATCTTTCGCTCGTTTTTTAACCCACTTCCCGTGATCCAATCGAGCTGACATTTTCCACACAGACTCGTGTGTGACAATTAATTTTCGTGAAAAAAAAAATCCAAAATTTTACACTGTTTAGGGAAAACAAATTAAATATTTTATTACCAATTGCTTAATGGTGGCAGACAATCATCTGACTCATAGGTGGCAGCCATCTCAAGCCAGAGGACGAGAGGACTCTAGCCACCACGCATATAAAGGATTTATAGTGAAAAACTTTGTTTTTACGGGTTTACTTGTTTGGGTTATGGTTGTGTAAATATGTCGTTAAAACCCGCCACCACCCGATAGAGCCAACTCGTAAGGGGTTGTCACGTAAACAACGTGCCAATTCGTCACTAGTACAGCACACCGGTGTGTTGGAGAGCCAAGCCACAACATTTACAATCTGAATACGACATTTCGCCAGTGATGAAGCTAGTTGTAGTTACTAGCGAAACATCGTAAATGTTGTCGCTTGGCTCTTTAACACACCGGTGTGCTGTACTAGTATACTCGTGACGAATTGGCATGTTCTGTTTACGTGACAACCCTTAGTAGTTGGTGGTGGCGGGTTTTAACGACATTTACGCGATCTAACCCAAAAAAACCTCATGGATTTTAAAACGTAAATTTCGTGACTTAAAGCTTTCGTGACTGCAGGAATTCGTATTCTTTGTGTCTTTCGGTAAAGTCACGTAGATAGGTTCAAAGAAAATTAAACAAAATAAAACTACGTTTTGATTGCAACACAAGTTTTCGTCATCAGGAAGAGGGGGTTAGCTTCTAAAGGTAAATTGTTTATAAAGGTTTGAAATGGGCGTAGCCCAAATGTCAGCAGCCAATGTTAATAGCATTGGTGGGCCTCGACCGCGACGGTGGTGGGTTTTCCCACCATATTTCGTTGCTTCCTCTTAGTATCTTTCACGGATTGTATAAATAGTATAAAATTGTAATGTTTAATACAATGTATAAGGTAATATACAGTATCGTAATTGTATAGTGAATATACAGCAGTGTGGTATACAGAAGGGTGGGTAGAATAATACTTAGGGTAATATAATCGAAGGTATAGAGTGTGTATAGAGTGATGTAAGGGAAAAAAGTTTAGCTGGAAGCATATTATATATTTGTTTTCTTCCTTCCCTTTGTTAATGCTACCCCTACCCCCTCCCTTTGATGCATTTTCCATAAATATGCTAAATTCCTCTTGATATGCAAATTATTTTGTCAAGGCGCTCTTCTTCCACCTCCAACCCAGCCTAAATATACGCTCCAAGCTTGGTGGTGTTTCATTCTTCACCTGAGGACGGCTGCTTGCGTTGTAGCCGAAACGTCGTGAGAATTATTTTATTATGTTTTATTTTATTATTTCCCTTCTACGTGACTTTATCGAAAGAACCAATAAGAAGAATCATAGGGCTGCCCAGTAAAAATTAGCATGATAATGTAAGATCGTTGAGAGGCCTCCACGGCGGGCGCCCTGAGGTGGCTATGCTAATGTGAGAGATTAGCATGTTAATGGGAGAGATTCGCATGTTCATGTGAGAGATTAGCATGTTAATGGGAGATCGCAAAGCAAAAACCTGGAGTTCCGCTAGCGAGGTGGCTGTGTTAGGGTGAGATATTTAATCTGTTAATGTAAAATCGGAGAGCCGAAAATAACTAACATCGGAAGTTGGTAGGATGGGAACATCACAGCTAGTTATGACTTAAACTGGTTGATAATGTCCTTCCAATGATTGTTCAGTTTATACCCATCTTCTCGATTGAAATTGTGTCTGTGTCTATATATATGGATGGCTTCATGAGCGAATCTTTGTTGATAGCCAGTGGGTTTGCAAAGTACCTTCGTCTTAGAGAAATCAATTTCGTGTGAGCCCACCGCATTAAAACAATGATCAGCCACGGCAGAACTATTGGTCCTACCGTGTTTCAGATCTGCCTTATGTCAACGAACACGGTCCGAGACATGTCGCTTAGTTTCCCCAATGTCACTACTGCCACAGACACAGCTTAGTTTGTAGACGCCGGGGTATTGCATGTCAGGGATCTTATCCTTCACAGATGGGATCAGATCACGAATTTTATGCACTGTGTTAAATCGAACCCGGATGTTGTGTTTGCTCATGATTTTGGAAATATTTTTGGTGACCCCTGCTATGTATGGCAAGGTGATGGTTTTGATTGGGTCCTCATTTTCAAAGATGTGACCTTACACTGCACGCTATTCTGGATTATAATACGATGGTCTGCGTGATATGTGTATACGGTGATGTAAACTGTCAATTTAATTTGTATGTCATTTGTATAATATCTTTTAGCCTTTTATTGTTTTGTACCAAAATAAATGGGCAAGTGCTTCGTTTAACATCTAGAACGTTCTAAATGGATTACAGATTATATTCTGAGGATGGAGAACACATTGTACTGGTCTGCACAGAAGATGGCACATTCTATGCCATGGATTCTGCATGCCCACATGAAGGTACAGTACAGCAATAAAACAGCCCTCATTTTGCGTTATGTTTGAGCACAATTGCTTCAGTGTTTACTCACGTACCAGTGGAGCAATGAAAAACAGAACATTGTATGAACTGGTAGTGTGTGTCCGCGCGCGAGTATAATTTAATATTAATGGGTATTTAGATGGGCATAAAACTATTTCATCTGCATTCATTCAGGGCCATGACTTTACGTAACACGTTCATGTTTGGCCTTCCGTGGTGTGATGCTTAAGCACACACTGGACTTGTACAATCCCAGAGGTTTCCAGTTCGATTCGATTTCCCAGCGTGCCAGTTGAAACAATGGACATGGGTTTTATTTTTGTGAATCCTCTTCACCTTTGTCCACCCAGCAGTATATTGTAAATTAGTAGACCACAGTCAATCGGCAGGTCACGTGCGGTGGGGTAATGTGTGGCCAGTGTGGAACAGAAAGCAAAGGACCCTCTAGAGGAGGTTTTTTTTTTTTAAACACTCCCTCCAGTGGGTGGCCCTTCTGCCGGCAGTGATGTGAGCAAGCAATTGCAGGGATGTACCGATTTACCATCATGACATTGGCCTAAAGGTAGAATTTGCACGGACTTTACTATCATTTGCATGATACCTTTCACACATTGTACCTGATCCTTGCATGCACAATTCCATGCGTGTATTGTGAGCTGAAGTATCAATTGAAATCAATAGTTACATGACTTCACATTGTATTGATATTCTCTAGGTGGTCCTCTTGAGTTGGGGGATATTGAAGATCTGGGGAGTGGCAAGCTGGCACTTATCTGCCCGTGGCACCATTTTGATTTTTGTCTCGATACAGGAGAATCATCTACAGGATTGAAGGTACAATTTCTCTGTGATATTTGTCTTAATAATCCTTTAGCCAAGAAAGTATCATTGTGCATCAATGATGCTTTTTTATGAGGGTCCTGGAATGTTTGGTGATTTCATGAGCCTCTTAGTTTGCAACGTGAGTCGACTGGGAGTACTGAAGAAAACCACATCCATTATACAGAGAGCGCACTCAAACTTATGTCGAGATAGATGAACGGCACACTTTGCTGTGTGGCTATCTACTGGCCACCGTGTTGCTCTGCAAGCTGAGAGACCCATGGATATGCCTATCAACCCTAGGCTCCAGATTGTGGAACTTACATCCTTTAAAATATAGACAGCAACACTGATTGGTCACTTTTTTTACGATTGGTAAAAACAAGGGTTATATGAAACAAAGTGCCAATATGTAACGTATGTGTTTTCTCTATACTGAAATGTATCATTTTAATATAGTATAACCATTAACAACTTGCACCAAGTTTAAGAGCTAGGGTAATGGACATTTATTATATTTATTATTCACAACACAGATGTTTAAGAAAGTCAAATGTTCATTGTTTGTATGACACGTGCGTCAAAAAAGTACTTGTCATACTGTATTAGTTGAAATATAACATTTTACACGGCAACATTAATCAGACGTGTACCATTCTGTTTTTCAGAATCAGGTTTACGAAGTGACTGTTGTTGATGGAAATGTTTACATTAAAACCGAAAACATGTTATCGATTTCTGACACTGGTCAAAGGGAAGATGTGTGTAAAGGTATGCACATGCTTGGCATACAAAGCCATATTTAGGTTTAAACCCATTTTAAGAATATGAAATTTAATCTTGTGTTGAGTGTCATTAAACAAATAATAAAATCATTTTCACCGGGAATGCCTCGAGTCTCAAAAGGAGCCTCTATTAGGACATTTTACCAACTCCTTGGTCATGAGTGTTTTGTTTACCCACGCTGAAAATGTAATGTTACTTTTAGAATTGTATCACAATGATAAAATGACAAAATAATGCACAGCCTTCTTGTTAAGCTAGAGGTTCCAGTAAGGAAATGTGCACTGCATATC